TGCACCTTTAGGAAAAAAACAAGAAAACATACTTGAGAGCCTTGAGAACATTGTCCACATGATCTTCAATCTGCTTGCTGGACCAACTGCCAGGCAATCGGATCCTTGCAGAGTGAAGAACGACTTCTCTAACGGTGAGCTCACGGAGCATGATGTCCTCCTGAGGAACGTATCCAATAATCTTACGGTAAAGATGAACTTCAGCCTCCGCACCGTTGATATACAGGCGACCACCCGTTCGAGGAACCTTCCCCATAAGCACATTCATGAAAGTGGTTTCTAAATGAGAATCACGTTAATGGATTAACGACTAACGAGATGGAATACTCACTTCCTGCACCAGAGGGCCCAATGATGGCAGTCATCCTTTTCGACTTGATCTCTCCGGTGACGCCTTCAAGCACCTTCTTACCGTTCTTCAGAGCCAGCGCCAAGTTGTCAAACTTAAAGTTCATACGCAGCTCCCTGTGCCCCATCGCGCTGTGGAAGGCCCGAATCAGATTCTCCATCTCTTCCGTTACCATGTTGGGGTTGAACTGCTCAGGCGGCTTAAAAACATTGTCATTCGTGTCGTTGGCCGCCTTGGCTCTTTGCTCAAGCGCATAAGCGGGACCTCTGAAGATCCTGGAGAGGAGCACGCCAGGACCAAGTCGACGAAAGGCACCCTGCTTGATCTTGATTCCCAATAAAAGGAAAAAAAGAGCAACGTCAAAGATGCCCATTAGGACTGCTGGAAGGAGTGGGAGAGGGGTGATGGTCTCCGGCGGACATGAGGATAGGAACTCGCATGGTCGGGGTGCCGTCGACCCTGTAGGGCAGTAGTATCCAGACGGGCAGGGAAGCTGCTGAAGGTAGGTCGGGCAATAAAAGCCTGGCTTGCAAACACCTGGCTCAAAAAGACCTTGAGGCTATGATGAACGTTAGCATTATCCAATTGAAGTAGAGAGTAATCAAAAATTGCTTACCGTGCATGGCAAGCTTCCAAGACGGTAGACAGCGCACCCGGCAGAAGGCGGGCAGTATACAGGAAGGGTGGATGCATTATTCTTGTCAAGGTTTGGACAGTACCAGCCTGGATCGCACGTCAGCACGGTATTGGGATCAAGCGGTGTTCCGACGGCAAGACCGGGTGCAATGTAACAGCCCTTCCCGGCTCCCTGGGGAAGGGTGACATTGAGTGTTGTGAACTGAAGCGTGGGATCATTCTCGGAGTTTGCGGGTGGTGAGGGCAGCTGGCGTCCTCCTCCCATTGTTCCCTCAGAGGGTCACTGGGCAGGAGGGATGCAGAGGGATTGATCGCCTTTGGAGCTGACTGGAGAGGACAGACGGTGTGCGATGGGCACGGACGGTCGCAGGAGGATGTGTGAGCGAGGGGATGACGGGCTGTGAGGTCTGTCTCCAGAAATAACTAAATCGTCCGCCTGGAGGCAGAAGCGGATTTCAGCCTCCCTCCCCCTGTATCTGTGTGCAATGCAGGCATGTTTGTCCAGAAGCAACCAATTAATTCGATTTAATTGCGGAGTATTGCTTTCTGGCTGCACATTCAGACAAGTTCCAGAAGCCATCCATCCATCCACTTGCTCAATCACGCTGGCTGCTTCCAGAACCACCGCAACTGCTGCAACCAACCACTCGCAAGCAAGTACGACGATGCTGATGTGACAGGGAGTGGGACGCGAATGCCACTGACGAACGATTGCGGTGCGCGATGCTGAGAAGTGGGGTGAGAGGCGAACCGATGCGACAGGATGCCATGTATTGGGTTTATATAGAACGCTAAATATGTAAAATTATGGGTTCCAAGCATTGGTGGTTTAGTGGTAAAATTAACCGTTGCCATCGGTTAGCCCCGGGTTCGATTCCCGGCCAATGCATGTGTTTCTGCACAGATGGTCGAGCGGTCTAAGACGTGTGACTCAAGTTCACATCTCGCAAGAGGCGTGGGTTCAAATCCCACTCT